AGTGGAAAATAACTGTTAGCACCGAGTTGCTAACGTTCCCTTGGCCCCACCCCCCTGATGAACGCCTGTGGGCGTCGCTCCGTCTGCTGGGTGTGGAGTCTGTGGACGGGCCACACTCTCAGAAAGGCTCTGGAGCTGCCCGGAGAAGTTAACGCTTCTTGGCTGAGGGGGGGTCAAATGCTGGCTGATTTCCAGCGGGTGCTAATCCGCATGCTATCGTGCAAAGCCTGCCTAGCAGAGTGCGGCTGTTCAGTTAAATATCTGTTCTTGTGACTAAAATGACACAGCCCCCCCCAGGCCTCCCCTCCCCCCCCCCTTGCCGTTCCTTGGGCTCCCGCCCAAACTCCACTGCAGAGTTGTTAAATCAGCTTCTTTTTGGTGTAACGCAGTTTAACGGCTCCAACCCTGGAGATGCCACTGCGCGTTTACTGAGCTCTTGGTATTAGTGATACTGTGACATTCACACACTGGAAACGCCAGCTAACCCGCACATCTCTGGACCTCAAGCAGGGAAACACAGGACAAGGTCTCATATCCGGCGACGTCGGGCAGGACAGAGGTGCCCCTGGAGGGTGGAATGCTGCCATTTAAACACACTGAGCTGTAACACATTTCTTACACTTTAATCAATCATTTTATACACAAACATAAATTATTATTGTACTGTTATTTTAACACGCTGTAATGTCACTGCCGTAATCCAAGTCTGAAAAAGCAAAGACACTGAAGAGGGCTGCTCCATTGGCATGTACAGTAACTGACATATGTATTGTATTTTAATATCATTAATACAAGTGTATTGACATATTTATTTAACTGATCACACTATGGACCCTTTTCATGTGCAATAAATGTGAATATTTATATTTAAACTCGTACCACTAACACTACTGTCTTTATTACTATTTAGCTGCACTTATGTAACTTTTTAAACTATGGTGCTGATCACAAGACTTTGATACCTAAATTCATTCCCTGACATGCTACCCCCATGTTCTCAGAATGACAATAACCCTCCTTAATCTTGAATTGTGCATCGCTTTCCTGTGATAATATTTTGTTAATTTCAGTTAAAGTACATTTTTAACAGAATAGTGTATTGTAGCATATTATGAATAAATTTGAAAATTTTTATAATGATGTTTTAGATTCCTGCCATTTACTTTAATGCTGGATATAAAATAACTAGAGGATACCTGTAAGGACATGAAAAGAGCATGCAAACATGCATCCAGAAAAGCAGTGGGATGCTGCAGTCGTTTTTAATTTTATTAAATTTCGATATACTCAGAAACCCTGTGCAAATGGTACAGAGTTAGATCAGGGGTGGCCAATCTTATCCGCAAAGGGCCGGTGTGTATGCAGGTTTTTGGGAAAACCTGTATGTCAGCTGTTCAAACCCAGGTGTGAGGACTCTTCAGCCAATCAGTCCTCTAATTAGTGACCTAATTAGGGAGTTGCAGCGAAAACCTGCATACACAGCGGCCCTTTGCGGATAAGATTGGCCAGCCCTGAGTTAGATAGATGGGCATGTGATGGATTATGGGAAATTACATTAAGGTCATATCTTCTGCAATTAAGTTAGTGCTCAAAATTCAACAAAAAGAACCCAGAGAGAGGCAGCGCCAGTACATTTCATTCAAGAATTTCAGTGCTATGGAAAGCGAGTCTCTGATGCGTTACGCAGCAGTGAGGACCGTGACTGTGCGAATCACACCTCCAGCTTCATATCCTTCACAGGTTAACAGTTACAATGCATGCAAATATTTCCAAACCCACAGAAGAGGATCACAGCTGGGCTGGGCCCCATCCCAAGAAGCGGGGGGACGAGATGTTAATCCATCAGTGAGGGCAGTGAGAGACGCCAGGCCACCTAACTGCATGGTTTTGGACTTTGGGAGGAGCACAGTCGGGGTGGGAATGCAAACAGCCAGTGATGGGAATCAAATCGCCAACCCCAGAGTTATGGGGCTCAGTGTGTGACCTACTGAGCCCCCACCCCTCAAGAAACTCAAGAAAAGTTTAGGTTTAAGAAGCATCAAACTGTGTCACTCGATCGTGCTTTAATGACGATAGTAAACCTCCTGTTTACCTCCACAGTTCTGTGTTAAGCATCAGGCTTCCTGTGTACCTGTGGCTGTACACAGGGCAGCACTGTACACAGGGCAGCACGATGCAGTATATGGTTCCGGGTCTGTGCGTTACATCACGCACATGCAGAATAATCGCATCGCGTTTGTCGGCACTGTTTTGTGTATGTTGACACAACTCACGACAACGCCACCAACCTGTTTGACACAAACTATTGGTCGATAAGTTCTATTTGACTACAGTTTATTTAGGCTAATTTCACCTCCTTTATTGTTTTATAAACATTGCAATGTTACTTGTGGAAATTTCACGCAAAGTGATTTCATGCAGCCCTATTTGTGTTTATGGAGGAAGACCTCTAACAGGTCTGGATGCTGTACAACCAAATAGTTACTTCAATATTCGTTCAAATACAAGAACTTGTGGCCATAGGTTTAAATTAGCGGGAGAACATTTTAAACTGGATTTCAGAAAGCACTTCTTTACACAGCGTGTAGTTAGAGTATGGAATAGTCTTCCTTTTAGGGTTAGGGTTAATGGAGTACAAGCGAAAACCTTGAGTTCCTTTAAATCAGAGCTAGATAAGATTTTAACAACTCTAAGCTAATAACGGAGTTCTCCCTAAACGAGTTTGATGGGCCGAATGGCCTCCTCTCGTTTGTAAATTTCTTATGTTCTTGAGATGTGTGTGTGTGATGAAGCGTGTCCCAGTAAAAAAAAAACATTGTAACAAGAAAGTTCAGAAAAAAAACTAAAGAAGACTGTTTGGTGGCTCAATGGCTTCTGCGGGTTATGACCCACAATCAGAAGGTTGCTGGTTTGAGTCCCACAGCCAGCAGAGTGATCTGTTAGGCCCTAAACCCCAAAAGCTGCTCTAGGGACGCTGGATCTGGCCAAGCACCCAAACATCACTCTCAGCTCTACATGCATGTTTCACTAGACTAACATGTCATATGTGAAAAGAATTCATTCAGCCGCAAATGCACTGGACTTGTACAAATGGCAAACTAAGTACAATAATTTCAGAGTAATACTACTGCCGCGCTGTTTCGGGATAGGGGATTAAAATCATAATCTCCCTGTGCTGTATAGTTTTTCCTGCTGCTGTCTAAAGACATGGAGCCAGACAATCTGGTGTCTCTAAATCGCCCGTGGGGTGTGTTCCTTGACTTGTTCTAAATATAACATCTAAATTTAATGAATAACTTATAAATCCACCATATGATTTAATACAAATTACAGCATAAGATTTTAATGCCACTTTTTAAATGCAAAAAGATGCCAGGGTGGAATTTTCCATTTTAGCCTTGTCCAGGGTACCTAACCTGAGTTACTTTAGCAAAATATTGTCACGTTCATATTCTATTGTTGTCTCATACGTCACAAATAGTGTGTGAGTGTGTGGCCTGCAATAGACTGGCATCTCGTCCAGGGTGTACCCTTCCCTGTGCGCTGTGGGACAGGCGTTAGGCTGCCCACATTCCTGAACTGGATAAGCTTTCAAGGAAGATGGACAGATGGGTTATTACATCATAAACCAAGTACAGACTGCTGTGCATACAAACATTCAGACGTAAGAAAAATCATTTGTGCAAGCGGTTTTTGCTGAGTTTGTTCAATATTCATCCATGCATCAATATTTGCATAGGAAGCCATCTGTTTCCAGGCTACAGAAATCATATTACATACCAACAGTTGCAATATTACATTTCCTTATAGAGTAATGAAAATATGTACAGACTCAGTGCACTAATGACTGAAATGCTTTAGCATATGCATACCTATATCCAATTATGTTACTTAAGTTATTTCTAAATTCTTTTCTAAATTCTAAATTTCTAAATTCTACAGTAATAGATTACATTTTAAAAATTACATTTAAAAAAAAAGTGTGTGATGCTCCTCTCTGCTGGAACATTCTTGGATTCCATTCACCAGGGCACCTAAACCTGCCACCCAACCCTCAGCAATCAGGCAAAAAAATAATAAGAATTTGACCTAAAGTCTCAGAGTCGAAGCTCCATGACACAGACGTCTCCATTTGTACCGGCCACTGTTAATTAAAGCAGCACTTCATGTAATTGACGAGAGCTGCGACAATACAAAGAGGCAAGTGGGAGGGAGAACAGAACAGCATTTATGTATCAGACAGTCATTCAGCTGAGCTATATGACGGCACAGCCAAGCACTACCTCACCCAGACCAAGAAAATCTCAATGACACAGTCAAACTGCTTTTCCATTCAGGGCAAATGTGAAAAGTGCTCAGGACAAATAAAAATTACATCTTTCAAATTTATGATCACGTGTCACACGGCTTCTAACTCACGGAGCCTTGCCGGCTTCTAGTTTAATTTTAAAGGGTACTTGCCAAGTCACCCCTTTAATACAACATGAGGGACACACTTACACCCTGGAGGAAGAGTTACCAGAAGCTCCCACTGAAGCGACGTGCACTTTTAACTACTCAAAGCTCAGCTGAAATATCCTTCTTTAGGCTTCAACAACAGAGCCCTTTTTGGGACTTAACCAGTGACCTTTATACGGCACTAATGTTGCAGGGTGACAGTGGACGCTAAGACAAACAAGAACTACATAGAGACTGAATTCTGAGAGACTGAATTTTTTATAAATTAGGCTAAACGAGAGGAGGGTGGGGGTCCAGCCACGGGCGGGTTCATTTATCTGTGGGCCCTGCATAGACGTTCAGGGAGGGGTTCCATGAAGCAGGGTTTCTCAGTTGTGTTAACATAAGCTAACAAACCTGCTTGCAGGAAACCCCCCCAGGTATGATTTAAGTAACTGTTCCAATTTTCCCGAGGCGGGACAGGGCCCTAATGTTTGCCAGATCCCTGAGCTACACCTTAGGACGGCCATCGCACTGGTCCAGCCCCAGCTCTGCCTGCTCACCATCTGGATGGGTCTCTTTTGCAGGTCGCGCTCGGTGACCAGCCGCTCCTGGTCGGTGACGTAGAGGCCCTTCTGGGCGAGCGCGCGGATGACGGCGTCGTGGCCCAGCAGCGGCTTGGCGGCGTCGCTCTTCAGGATGAGGCTGCCGGCCCGGCAGTACGGCTCCGCCGACAGCAGCAGGCTCACCACGGGCGGCTTGATGTGCTCCTGCTCGTACTGGTCCCTGTAGAAGGGCTCCCTCAGATCGGTGGGGACGCTATCTGTAAAGGGGCCGGAGCGGGCGGGGGAGGGGGGGGCAACGCAGAACAGGCACGGTTAATCACACTCCCGCGCAGACCACCCTGCTGCATAGCTGCTCCCATGCACATAAAACACATTTACGTGTTTATCGTTGCATAAAACATGCGATGACACAAAGCCGGCCAATTTGTGCTGTTAGCTAACACCGATGGTGTACTACGGCTCCCATTACTGGTCTTAATTTCCTGCAAGGATGCGAAATGTATCATCCTGCCCCGGATATCCATAAATCTAATCAGGATGCAATTAGTAATTGCGGGTCCAATGCGTCCGCGGGCAATCCCTCACTGCGAGAAGCCGAAAGATTTACGCTGATGTATCAGCTCTGTTCGGCTCAGGAATCAGCGATAGGCAGTACCATGTCTCCATAAAAGACACCGTTCCTGAAAAGCCTCAGAGCAGAGATACACAAACAGAAATCAAATATACAGGCAGTCATAAAATGACAATCTTTTATCGTCTTATTTCCAACATTAGTGGTTTCTACCAAATTATTTTTGAATGCTACTTCAATGTCAAGATAAAACAGGATGGTCTCTTATTTTCTAAACAATAAATAAGATTACTCGCAAAGAAACATCGTGATTAATTTTAAAGTTCTTTCAGTAAGAGACGCTCCACATGGTGAGATGACTTGGACGGGGAAAACAGTCCTGGAGATCCAAGCAGGTCGCAGGAAGGGATGTGCATGTCCGACCGCATGGCTGCGGTTTCTTGTGGAGAGAGCAAGTGACTGTAGTGATTGTAACTTGAGTATAGTAAACAAAAACCTGAAAACACACACACTTAGGCCACTGATCTCCAACTTTTTTTTTTTTGCAGTGAAAGATACTTTTACAAAGTAAATTCTCTGACAGGATCACTGCGGTTTAATTCGCTGACCTGTGGGGGTGTTGGTCAGGGGGGGAGGTGGTCCCCCTTGCTATATTATGCAAATTGGGGAGCAGGGGAATAGATGCTGTATTGCGATTGACTAAATGTCTTAGTGTTCGACCTGTCGATTACAATCGACCGGTCGGCCACCACTATTCCAGGCCCAGTAGGACATTCGACTGTTGGTCTGATATTTTGTATTAAAGTATAAGATACAGCAGGACCTTGCCAGTGATACAACACAAAAAAAATCGATTCACTTTCACATCGGCCGCAGCACCTTAAAAAAAAGCATATAATGCATGCTTTTAGCTTAAGTCAATGACAAACTCTGCATTCTCAACATGTTTTCTTTACAGGAAGAAGAGGGTCCTGCTAATTTCAGTGAGAAAGATGTACAATACTGAAGATGCCAAGGGCCTTTATCAAAACAATTACAACGAGATGAATATTCAGTATACAAGAGAACATACCTGAATACCAATTATTACAGACCTTGACGACAATCAAAGCTACAGGACACTTTTGTTTACACTACAAAAAAGAAATTCTGATGGTGGTTTGTGGCCCATGCGATTGAAGCGTAGGCTGTAGGGCAGGATGCACTCTAGACAGGACATCAGTCCATCATGACGACAAGGCCACACAGTCAGTCACATATTACAGGTGGGCTCACACACGCAGCACATCTAGACTGGAGGATAAAGTAACCACGGAAACCACACTCACACCGGAGCCAAGAGAGCAGTGCTCAGTGCTCAGCCATCATATCTAATCATTTTTTCCAAAACTTGTTTTCTTCTGACATCACATCAACTGCAAAATTATCTGGTTTTACATGTTGTCAGCCCAGCAACAATTAATTTTTTTTTACCATAACTGACTTCAGATCAGATTTGGAGAATTTGGTAAAATTACCCTGATATACTTTATGTACAAAGACCATTTTGCACAATCAATGCCAGTGCTGGAGGCATAACTACATTCTTCAGTGTAGGAACCAAAGCGTCCCCCACCAGATTAAAGGAAGATTAAAGAAATGGTCATTCTGCCAGATAAAGGCACTGGAGAGGCAGGAGCCTTAATGACTGCAGCTTCCTCGCAGCGGCACATGACTTGACAAAATGATACCTCTTAAAGCTACAGTGCACTTTTTTCCAACAATGATGACAGAAACTGGGCTTTGAAATTCATGGTGGGTGGAAATAGTGCATCTTGTAATTCACTAGTTGAGCCACCTACTGGTTATATTGCTGGTTGCCAGGGAATAATACCTCAACCACCTGCGGTTTTTCATGCCAACTTTCTTCTAATTCTTCCTCCAAATAAGCCACCTGAGATCTGAGAGGAACGGACACCTCAGAGGTCCATTGAAAGCTGTGCTTTCCTGACAGCTGGATCTTCTCACCTCTCCATGTGTCAGAGAGAAACAAGTACATCCAAGGCAGGGGCGGAGCACAGGTGTGGTGATAATGAAGGGGTATGGGATTGGCCAATAACGCGTTGCCGTTCCCCCACCCTGTACACTTGGGTGATTAAACTGTACCTTCAGGTAAAACAAAGGCTTGAAAGGAGCAGCTGAAAATGAAGAGAGACTCGGACATTTACTGCTCCTGGTCACAATAAGAGTCGACCTTTCTTACCCCGACAGCACAATAAATACCGGTGCAATGAACCAAAACAAAGTGCGGCTAAAAACAGCTACGCCCACGAAATGCACAATGCGGCCGACCCCTTCAGATTTTTTAAAGCTGCAAATAAATAAAGAAAAAATATATAAAATGGGGAGGAACTGCGAAAACTGAACCTCAGTCGTACAAATCGTTAAAGGTTGCATGAGTTCAATGTGTTAGACTTACTCTGGTCTGGCCAGGGAAATAAGTCCATGGATAGGAGGAATGAGCGGGGGATTTCCTAGATATTTGGGGGATTTAACTAACTGGGGTAGAGGAACACACAGAAACAGCAGGAAATGGGTAAGAAAAACGAGATGGGTGTCAGGTCTCACATACCACCAGACCAGGATGTGGATCCTGGGCATGAGATCTGATCTGTTGGTGGCTGAGAAACAATCAGAGGATTGAAGGAGCTAGTCACCTGGTCTCACCCCCCCCCCCTCCCTAACTCTGGGACATCCACACTCTCCCCTGTCATACTCGGTGTTAACAAAATGTGTTTCTTGAAGTCGAGAAGGATGGGACAGAGAAATCTCGTGCTGCGGGAGGATGTTAAGGGCTGCTTGGTCAAACAAAGCAGTTTCCACTGATTCTTGTGTCAAAGAGGAAATGATCCAGCCCTAACCTCAAGAAAAGGGCAAAGCAAGTCAAGACACATTAAAAGCAGACAGAACATGAGTGAGCATAACGTGAAATTATGTCAGCACTTGGGAATATTTACATTAGTGTCCTTGGTTATGTTATCTTACTAGAAGACCTCACATACCACCAGACAGGAATCCAACAGCAAATCTAGAGACCTTTATTGCATATAATTCCGTTAAAGGACTCCTATTGATGTAGGGTTATGCAAGCCAAAACATGAACAGGGTAAAGTTAATCAAAAGATGAACATGAGCACTTACAAAAGCTTACAAACAACCAAAACACTTATTTAGCTTCTCCAAACCTAAAAATAAACTAAACTAAGTAAGATCACCATAACTTACACAGCCCTCATAAAATATAATGAGTAACATGTTACTTACGGGCCACCAACGGATTCACAGGTCAGATTTTTCCCGCCTTGCTAATTTTTTCACTTTGAAAGTAGCGGCATATGTCTTCAAGCTGCACTTCCTCATCTGACGTCATGTCTGACACGTCTAGTGGAACTATACAAGTTTACAAAGGCAACACGGGCCATTAGTGTCCGTCTTGGTATTCCTGCTATGCAACAGATGTTCTGGAAAAAAAATGCCAGTCTGTCTATTTCAAGAAATGAGGCCTGTTTGTTACAGCTGCTGCTCAAACGTCCCAGCATTGCTCTTAGTCTGATTGGAGGACAGAGGGGCCATAATGTATACAGCTTCCGAATGAGAGATTTTACATGCAAGAAGCATTTCGATTGCTTTGCAGCCTAGAAACACTTCCTGGCAAGTCCGTCCGGGGCCAGAACAAGAGCAGATGAAAGGGCTGATCAGCTGGCTGACAGTGTCGGGGGAGGGGGGGCTTGTGTCACGTGATCCCTAAGCCATTTCTGCCCCACAACTCGGCACAACCCAGACATCTGGATCACTTTGTTCCGGACGCGATTAGCGTGGGACCCTCGGGGGGGCACTGCTGTATCCTCCCGGCCTGGACCTTCCTGACCCAGTTACTAGTGACAAATCCCCTCCCAACTTTCAGTTAAAGTTGCGCCAGCCTTTATTTTTTATTTTTTGAAGATTTTGTGGAGAGTGGGGATATGTCGAATTCCAAGGAACAATGCGTGCAAGACGACACTGAAGACTATCCCAAATCTTAGTCCTGCACTCTGGCGCTAGTTGGAGAAGGCAGGTGTAACTGTTAGAAGAGATATAAACTTATACTAAATCGCTCCAGTAATGGGACTTGGCTCCACAACTGGGTAAAAACTGCAAGTTATTTTGAATGAAAGCGTCAGTTAAGCAACAAATGCAGGTATTTTATCGGTGGCTCCGTTGTGATTAGCATGTACTAATATTGCTTGCATGACTAGTTTTCAACCACAGTCCCATACAGGGTGTCCCCTGCTTTGCGCCCTGTGCTTCCGGGGAAAGGTTCCAGACTCTGAGCACTCCTCCACTGTAAATGCCATTAATGAAAGAGGGATGGATGGATGGATATTATTTTTCAGAGGTCTTATCCCCTCAGATCCATTACAAACAATGAAGCTCCCCTAAATAAATGCCCCCCCCCCCGTTCCCATAGGGAAGATTAGCTGTAAAGTATTTCGCATGAACACGTTGTTGAGATCCACTATAAATAAACGTATCATGTGTTAAACTGTGTACATAAACGGCCCTATTCCACCAAAATATGTATGTAAAATAGGGTATTTGGACGTCTGGAGTAATTTCACATAAATTAGTCCCCAGAAAACTTTACATTGTACCTTAAATATAAAACGTTAGTAAAAATGGACTGACACCGAAAAGCAAATCCAGGCATCACCCTTTGTACCAGTTAAGGAAAGATGTATAAAAGCCCTTAGTGTCTGGAATCAATCGTTAGGCTAACAAGCTGGGATTGATTACTTTTTCCTGACAGCGGTAATTCATAGCACACAAACACGGCGTTAAATGTTTTGCATGCATGCTGTTCTCCACTAGCCGTCGAAAATCCGGGACAGAATGTATACAGGGAACGAGAGGCAGTGGCAATGGGAAGCGCCGATTATTCCCTGCGCACACGCGTTATACCAGGACAATAACAGAGCATGGGGGCCTGGTATTGGTGTTTGACCACATGCCACAGTCCGATAGGTTAAGCGGTTAAATGCAGCTGCGTTATTTGTGCGAGTACCAGCGCTTCAAACTCTTCCCGGCAGAATTAAGTGTTTCAGGAGATGAAGTGGAATTCTCTCTTGGACAAAAATGACTCATCATATTGTTCAGGGTCTAACCTAATTTATCCGAAGATTAAATTACCAGCTAGAGATGTAGAGAATATGGTATTGCTAGCTACCACCAGCTTCCAAAAATCTGTTTACATATACTACTGTGGACTAACAGGTTATCTATAACTGAGTCTAAAATAAATTTGCTAAAACATTCATGGGGAGCCAAGAATATGCTTTATTTTTATGATATTTTAATGTACTATGACGATATAATTCAATATTTTTCTGAGGAGCTGTAAGCCATTTTTACAAGCACCCTTGAGGAATCAGCAACAGTTGCCTTGTCCTTAATTTACTGTATTCTCCAACTCAGGTCGTGACATCAAATCTAAGAATAACATAAGACTCCACAAACACGAAACCATAACCGTCAATAGCAGACAATTCCTAAGTAATAATATATAACTGTCATAAATGCTGTTATAGGAGCATAAGATAAATTCCTGGGTTTCCTTGCGCTGTATTTTTGCATTTTTAAACCAAATACAATATTTTCAAATTACAAAATAATACATATGAGCCATAGTCGCTATTTTTACGGATAGTTCACGTTCACCAGTCTATTGGCTATAAAATAACAATTGTTTAAAAATGTATACATTTAAAAAAGAGAACCTACCCGTCCCGAAGGCTTTGGCCATAAGCCATGTCAGGCTACAGCAGATCTTAGCCCGAGTGAAATCGTAATGCTCAAAGGCTTTTATAGCCGGAACGATGAAAGTCTTTTTAATTTCCTTGGCGCTGCCCACGTCGCCCATATTCGCACCTTCAGGAGCCGAAGCGGATGATTAACTACAATCAGACGGTAGCGGGTGACATGGCTGCTCCGGAATTTAATGCACCACTATGACTTTTTTCCCGTTTTTAACGCTCCGAAATATTTGACGATGTCCAGATGAACACGGCGTAAAGCATCATTTTTAAAAGCCTACAGGCGTTTTTGTCTCAGGAGATGTCCGACGCGGTCGATCCAGTGATCAAAACCGGGCAACTGCGGCAGTCTTCTGGTAGTTTTCATCCATTCCCTGACATTGCCGTTAGCCTGTTAGGGATATTTTTACTATTTTCATAACTGCGGAGCGAAATTGAGAGATGTTGCTTTCCATTTTAAGCCGACAATCGGGTCTCATGTTCCGAGGAGACTTTCTTCGTCTGAGAGAAGCCTGTGTTATTTATTCTCATATTTTTTTCCTGGGAATGTTCCCTCTTTCCCCTTCTGTTGAATCTCGGTCTTTCCTCGCTTTGCTGCGGTTTTCCTGCCGCACTGTTACGGAGCGCGCGCACTGCGCATGCGCGCTCCGCCCAGTCACTGTCAAACGGGAGCTCGGCTGCCTCGCGACCAGTCTGCTCGAGTCTATGATGCGCGTCCTTGACATACAGTATTTGGGATATCCTTAGGAGTCGGTAACTGTGTGACGTTTTAAAGATCGATATTAGCCATCTGATCCGTCAGACAAACGTCTCAGGTCTAAAGCAGCACGACAAAATCTGTATTACCGCAGTGGTCTTCTCTGATATGCCGTTGCAAAAGATTTAAAAGACCTATTACTAAAATGCCAGGGTGCCAACTCTCACACATCTGGCGTGACACTCAAGCTTTCAGACTCTCACGATAACCGAATAAATCTTACGGCAAATCCAAATTATTCCACTATAAACCTAAAACCTGCTGTTACAACCATGAAAATGAGTGCAGATTTGTCTCGAATTGAAAATCTCACCCCGTCCAGCTGACCAAAGTTGACAACCCTGAAAGGTGATGAATTGGTTTAATATTAAACAGGCAGATTCATTATTATTACTATTCAAAATATGAAGATTTATGACTACTGTAAAATATAGCAAATAAAAACAACATAGCAACCTTGCTAAATGAATGTCCAATGTACAGTGTATGTTACTTTATATTTGCTTGATTACCTTCAATTAGAGTTTTATGCACTTTATATTGCAAGTGCATGTAAAATTCAACACACACACACACACACGCACAAGTTAAACTGTTAGAAACAATACTAGCCCAATTTGATTAGTGAGAGTTGAAGATTTCTTGGGTCCAGTTTCTCTCTCTCTCTCTCTCTCTCTCTCTCTCTCTCTCTCACAGACACACACACACACACACACACACACACAAAGCTTTGAAGGTTAGGTCAAGACCAGGCCAGACCTTTTTGGGCCCTGAACATGCCTCTGCCTCCTGATAATAAGTGTTAAGTTGTAAAAGCCGGACTGTAACTTTCCTGGCGCCTTTTCTAATGCTAGAAGTGCTGTTTGCCTTAGCTTCCACTGGCGATGCCTAAACCTTCCTGCTTCCATGGGGGGAATGTGCGCGCTCCTGAGTCAAAGGAAAGTTCAACAACAGTCAGGAAAAGGTGGGGCTTCTTTTTTCAACTCCAGAGTTGGGTGGATAATTACAGCCCCAATCTGTACAGCGTACTGCCCTGCGTCTGGAAAGGCTGCCACTGGGCACCAGCCACATGTACAAATGGAAGCAATTTGTAGTATTTTTCAATGCACGATACTCCGGACATTTGATCTAGGGAGGAAAATGGTGCTTGCAGTTGTTAGTAAATGGTATAGATGGTAAATGCGGTAATCACCATCACCATACATTCAGATCTGCTTCAAAAATGTTCTTAGTCACACAGCAAAGAATGACAAACGGTGATGCGTTATTTGTGATTTAATTGTATTCCACACTGAGGAATTTGTATGAGTAATGTGATATGTTCACTCTATTAAATAAAAAAGTAAATATTCAGATGTATTCACTGAGACTTGCATAAGAACTTCAGTGTTGATCTTTATTCTCTGACACTGTTTGACACGTGTGTTCATCCATAGCTGCCTCTCTAGGTTTGCTTACTGTCACCTTTTAACGTTAACAACAGTTTAGAAAATTCATATAACTTTTTTTGTTATAGTTTAAACTCTGGCATCCAGCATCAACGTGGATTAGAAGAAATCAAAATCATTCATTACAAAATGAGTACATTCCTTCAATTGTTGACAGCAGTGTTAATTTTTTACATGGTGACTAGATAAGAAGCTATGGAAGATGGAAGAATGGATGATTTAATGATGGTTTATTTGTATAGAATGCTATTCTTGTAGCTGTTCCTTTCTTTGTAGTGAAGTGCTAGCTTGATGGAGAAGGCAGGAAATCCTGTTGCTTTAAGAATGACCAGAATTGGCTGCGTTATCCTTTTGCCCCTCCAGAGGAAACGGGCGGGGCCAGAACCCTCTGCTATGGTGCAGACCTTAAATGCCGGTAGCCTGGGACACAGAGGCGTGCAGGAAATCGCTGTGCTCACAGAAACTCAGCTTATCATTGGACATGGAACTTCCTTTACCCTTGTCAACCCCAAAAATAACACGTCAGAAAGAAACGGAACGATATCAAAATCAGGGATTACAACAGCAGTTAGGGTCATTTTATTCTAAATGACCTGTTCATGCTTTAAACCACTGTAATCCACTTTCAATAGCGGTTATTATATTTGGTTTCTTTAAAAAGCCCACAAAAATATACAGTAGGTAAACTCAAATACAGAGAAAATGTTCCCGCCCCGTTTCGGGCCGAGGACCTGTCCCATGTGAGGCGAACGTAACCGTTACACCGCGGAAACACATCTCTGAGTCTCGACCTTGCTTCATACGTTGCATATACAACTCAGCTTTAGTGATCTTGGAGCTATTTAAACAGTTGCCGTAGCAACATGTAACATGCTTTAAATAAAGACAAAACAAGATCAAAATAACCATTCATCCAATTCCGAATTCTAAATACTTATCGTAGTCAGAATTACAGCGGCTATCCAAGATCTCACCCTAGGCAGCAAAGGCGAGGCTGGGGTATACTCTGGATGGCATGAAGAGCAGAATATCCGCGATCATCAGCTATCTATATGTCAGCAAAAATGGGTGGGTGGATATTGAAGCGATGTTGCTTTAATTGCGTTTGTAATTGGTGCCATCTAGTGGTAGATCGTAGGTGCTCCCAAGCATTTATACTTTTTTGGTTGCCGTAAAGTTCAGCCTGGTGACGTAGTTATTATGACCGGCCAATCACAGAGTGTGTGATACCAATTTTGAATGCTGGGAGAGACGCGACAACCCGGCGACTACGGACGTTTATGCAAAAATAAAACAAACTAAAAGAAGCCGAAGCTCACGCTGAAAAAACTGAAACCACATCACATGTAATATTGGTTGAAAGCAGTCATTACGTATTATAACTTAAATGAATAAGGTACTGTCGAAAATAATTAGCAATACTATTGTTCCAAAAATCTGATTATTCCATGAGGTTGTAGAACGCATTGATACGTAATGGCCATAAGGTGGCAGTGTTTGCCCGGCAATGGGACTACATCTACACTATATGGAGAAAGGTTTTGGAACACACCTCTTAATCATTGAATTCAGGTGTTTCATTCAGACCCATCCCAAATCAAGCACCTAGGCATGCAGTCAAGTTTACAAACATTAGTGACATTGTTCTAAACAGCTCAATAAATTCAAGTTGTCAGAATACTGTCATTGAATACTGTCATTGGATGCCAGGTTTGCAATATGTCAGTTCTTGAAATTTCTTACTTGCTAGATATTCAACTGTAAGTGGAATTATTGTAAAGTGTAAACATTTAGGAACAACAAAGTGTCAGACCACGTAAAGTAACACAGCAGGATAACCGAGTCCTGAGGCACATAGTGTGTAAAAGTCACCAATGCTCTGTTCCAAACTTCCTCTGGCATTAACCGCAGCACAAAAACTGTGCCCCAGGATCGTCATGGAATGGGCTTCCATGGCCGAGCAGATGCATGCAAGCCTCACATCACCAACTGCAATGCCAAGCTCCACACAAAGGGGTGTAAAGCACGCCGCCACTGGACTCTGGAGCAGTGGAAACGTGTTCTGTGGAGTGACGAATCACGCTTCTGTCTGGCAGTCTGACGGATGAGTCTGGGTTTGGCGGATGCCAGGAGAACGTTACCCGCCTGACTGCATTGTGCCAACTGTAAAGTTTGGTGGAGGAGGGATAATGGTGTGGGGGTGTTTTTCAGAGGGTGGGCTGGGCCCCTTAGTTCCAGTGAAGGGAACTCTTAATGCTTCAGCATACCAAGACATTTTGGACAGTTCTATGCTTCTAACTTCTAACTGTGGGAACAGTTTGGGGAAGGACCTTGGCTGTTCCAGCATGACTGTGTCCCAGTGCCCAAAGCAAGGTCCATACAGAAATGGTTGGGTGAGTTTGGTGTGGAAGAACTTGACTGGCCCACACAGAACCCTGACCTCAATCCCATCAGACACCTTTAGGATGAACTAGAACGGAGATTGTTTGGCAGATCTTTACATCCAATATCAGTGACTGACCTCACAAATACTTTTTTGGATGAATGGGCAACGGATCCCACAGACACATTCCAAAATCTCATGTAAAGCCTCCCCAGAAGAATGGCAGCTGTTATAGCTGCAAAGGGGGGACCAACTCCATACTGATTCCTGTGGATGTAGAATGGGACGTCATAAAGGTTCCTGTAGGTGTAATGGCCAGACGTCCCAATACTTTTGTCCATATTGTGTATTTGTTTGACTTACAGCTTAGTATCTTTAACATCTGAACTGTACTGGTCCCTGTTTTACATTTAAGACATGGAAGGATGTGGAAACTTGTGCATCACTAAAACTCTTCTGGTAGCTGTTCCCAGACTTCTAGCTGAAATACATGTAGTCAAAAACCTGTGTTAACTAAGGGTCTCCTTCAGCTTGAAGGAAAACAGCAACCAACTTCTTAAAAGAATATGTCTCTATATGTCCATAGCATCAATGATATTGGACTTTATCAGGAGCAATGTTTATCTGTACACAATGTATCACATAATCTGGAGTATGTTACTGATTACTATTATGTTACCAGTTATTACAGTGCTTCTGTATCTACTGGATCATTATATTGTCAGGATATTAAGACAGATGCTGGTAGCGCGATTCAATCTCACTGCTTGAATCATGCATGCCTTTACTCTACCAATAACACGCCATGCTATTGTCACAATTGGCATCTGATATCGAAGGCATATTTATGCTTCTGTAATGTGTGCAAAAATATTTATGATGAAAGAAGCTGTAGGGCAGGAAGGAACAGTGCCAAGAGGAATTCTGCTCGCACCATACTGTGTGCTACCATGGATAAAGTTCTAAAAACATCTTTGGTACTCAGCTAAATGTCATTTGGCCTTATGGTAAGATGAAGTCTGGATAGAGACTAAAATGCGCTAATTGCA